CATTTTTTTCGGGCAAAGTCAACCCTGCATCCATCTTATGTGTAAAGTCTGTCCTGGGGATGCCTTGTGCTTGAGATAGACCTGAGTTCTGTTTTCAAGCTTCCTTTGTAAAACCCAACTGTTTAGATATATTGTAAAATACTGCTGCATATGTATTAGAATAACCAAGCATAATCCACTGATGCTTCTACAGTTTGGGCAGTCAAGTTATCTTTTTAGGTTGTATCACAGCAGGAACACAGCTGCGTTTAAACTTTAAATTCTTTAAGCCCTCACCTGTTCAAAACTTTAAATCTGTCCTTTTGAATGAGAGGATTAATCAAGGAAACGGGTACAGTTCCCCCTTGAGATCTTGGTAAACACTAGTCACATTCTAAGATGAACAAAATGTTCAATAATTTATTTGATATCGCAGTGTCTCTTGATTCTTTTGTTACATATCTCATCTACGGGGCTAGGTGAATAGTTTATTTTCAGGGCATTTTTCAATAATAATCTTTTATACTCTGCCAGATGAAGCATGGGCTATGCAAGGTAGATGTAAACTGTCTTCTCTAACATCTTAACCAGCTCTTAGTTCACCTTGGCTCTAGTTTATTGTTTAAAAAAAAAGAAAAAAAAAAGTCTTTTTTGTCACAGTAATTCTGCTGTTGAACTCCTGACTTTTTGCCCATGTTAAAACCTGCTGAAGTTATGGCGCTTTGTGCCATAACATTTGGATGCAAATTTCTGCCTATTTAAGTGCAATATTAAGCTCCAAAATGTTGATTTTATTCACTCCTCCCTTAGCACTAGCCTGTTGTCCTTCTTGTCTAACATCATCTCCGTTGTAGAAACAATCTCCTTTTGTTCCTAAATGTAAGAATTTATTTAAATTACACTGTTCGAATTTTCCTTGAAAATGTACAGCCCTTCACCTTGAACTTCATAATTTGGTTCACTGTTTCATTTCATAAAGATTTCTCAGAGCTTTCCACAAACAGCTGGCACCAACAGTTCTGCAAAATGAAGTTGCTTCATAAGCTGTTGTGGTCACATAAAACAGTCTTGATTTCCTCCTCTCTTTTTGCAACCGGCACACTGTAATGAAGTTTTGCATGCTTATTTCTCACTCTTTAATAATCTTTTATAGTCACATCTATTACACTTTCAAACCTTGTTTAACTTTAACAGCTACAAGTTACTAAAGTTATGAGAAGACAAAAACATAGGTGAGTGGGGACACCTTTTTCAGGAAAGTGTCTCCTGAGCCATTTTAAACGTTCAGAGACTTGCCTCCTAGCTGATATAAATGCGTGGAGCCCTAGGAAGATCCATGCAGTGATGCTCAGTGTCATCTGCTGAGGATCGGGCAAAAGGTTTTAAAACTTCCCTTTTGTTACAATTGAAAAATTGTAAATGGATTTCATTAGGAAGAAATGTAAATGAGCTGTTAACTTGAGCTAAAACATGTTTTCTTTGTAAGAAGAAGCTATAATGGGGCCTGTATCCTATCTGTACCGTGTCCATTTCCATGCTGCTTTCACAGCACTCTCTGATCTAACTGGTTGTAGATGTACTGAGTAGTGATATATCTACATCAGCCCCTTTTGACTTGTTTTCCTGTTCTTGTCAGCTTAAATGCAAGTTTCAATTAAAAAAAAAAAAAGAAATAGAAAAATTATGTTTCTTTTTTGCTTGAACATGTCTGGTTGATAACACTGCTTCTGTGGTATTAATCTTCAAACATACTAAATCTTAGGTGGAGAAGCACCAGCAAGAGGAAAGGTGTGAAGTAGTGGTTTAGAGTAGGCAATGCTGTACTCAGGCTCTACCTGTCTACTTGGAATTAGGCTATTGCCTATGTGAATGTGTGACAGAGAGACTGAGAGAGAGAAACAGTCTCCTGCTTGGTATGTGACCTTTCCATTTTTGTTTTCGTCAGCAAACTTTAAAATTTCTGCTCTTTCCAACCTGCCAAGAGAAGAAAGCAAAAAAATCAGGATTGTGTCCTAGCTTCCGCACCAGCAGCCTCAGGGCTTTGTTCGTTGAGTGTGGTACAGCTCGCCCTGTTCTTACAAGCACCTGTGGCTTGGTCGGTTTAATCCCTCAATAGAGGTTAATCTCGTAATCCCTTTTTAGATTTGCAGCCTTCTAACATTTAGGATTCAGAGCAAAGAGACTTCATGCTTTTCCCAGCTTTCCCAGAAGCCTGGAATAAGAGTGTCTGTTTCTCTCTGTTGATGTAGACAAATGGTCAGCCCTCATGGACACTAGGCGATATGATAGACTGGATGGTAAACCATTTGTCTTGGCTCTGTAAATTCGGTATAGATTGCTTAAACACAAGATTTCAATAGCAGGAAATTGCCCAAGCTAAGCAGGGCTGCACGCACTTCACAGAAAAGGATTGGTGACCCATCATTTTAAAATGCAGCTGGTGACGCAGGCACGGGAGCAGGGCAGGTTTCGTAACTCTGTACTTTGCCTTTACCCGGGCAGTTTTTTTCCTAAGGAACAGGTTCAGCATTTTAGCAGTTTTTACCAGCAGAATTCCTCGACTCTGAATGTTTATGTGTTCATGGAAGAAATGTCAGCTTTTAGTAGACAAGCTGCTTGAGATGACCAAACCATTCATCAATATATAAAACAGAGCAAGTAAGCGGGGAAAAAAAATCCCAAATTGGCTAGCTAAGGTGCTGAGCATTGCGGATGCCTCCTGTCACCAATGGGACTTGAGGGCAGTCACATTGTATTTATGCACTTTTATATCGCACCCGTCATCGCAGTGTCTGAGCACTGCTGCTTGCCAACAGTCTGTTGATGGTTTGGGAGACTCAGACCGTGCGGTAAACGGTTAGTAGTTTGTAGAAGTTGTCTGTGTCAGGGCCAGAAGTTGACGACAACACTTCTGAGACCCAGGTCTGTGACTTCAACTGCTAGACCAGCCTTCTTGTACAGCGTGCTTTCAAAAACAAACAAAAGCCCATGTGTTAAACTTGCAGATAAGCACAATTAGAGACAGTTTACAGTTTCTACTGTACTTTTAAAAACTGTGCTTGCACAGTCCTGGTTCAAACAAGCGTTGAGTAGGACGTGAATCAGGCCCTGCTGTCCCACCTGCTTGGGGCCGTTCTTTGCATGCTGCGTCATGAGATCCCTACAAGTTTTCCTTACAAGTTTTCCTTTTGGTGAATTTTTTTTTTTTCAGTCAGCCTCCCTCATGTGTGCCTTTCCTTTCTAGTGATACAGCAAATCCCCTGGCTTCATTCAGTGCAGTCCTGGGTGTTTCCTCTTTAAATTTTGGACAACCAACTGTAGAGCGCTCTGACAGATCTCAGGGTCTCTTATACCTTAACTTTTTTTAGCACCTATTATATTTCTGAGTTACTTCTTTGTGATGGTGCAAAAGAGGATCTCTGCTTCCTAGCTTTGCTTGGTTGACTTTGTGGGACTGAAATGCTTTGGGCAGATGCCTGTGCATTTAATTCCTCTAACTGCTCTCTTACAGAAATTACTGAGGGAATAGTCTTTTTGTTTACTCACAGTTAAGAATGGCGTTGGACAAAACAGTGATCCAATACATTTTTGTCTCTGTGGCATAAGCTTTTGATTGATGCGTTGCCCATGAGAACATCCATCCATCTGCCTAGGAGTAGTCCATCAGTTAGAAGAGAACAGGAACAGAGTAAGTCCAGCAGTAATGCACGTTTCTTCCACCCTGCTCTGCTGCCCTTCCTGTTTCCATGCAGTTGCTGCCATTTCTGGTGACACTGCCAATTGGACTGCCATCTTTCCGCTGTACCCTGAGCAGGGAGCTTTGGCAATTGCTCTTGCCACCTAGTAATTTGGAGACGGCTGGCGCTTCACCTTGTTGCGAATGCCCAGAACTGCTCCGATCCAAAGTTGACGTTGTTTTGGTGTTCCACGTCCGTCGACAATGACCAGCAAAGTAACTCTTCATTCTGCCAGAGCAGCTCAGATGTAGTGGCTGGAATATGCTGCCTTTGCCACTTAATCAGGAAAGCAGCATCTGATGACAAAGATGGGCTTTTGCTTTCTCAGTTTATGCCCTGCTGCTGTAAAATGGCAACACTCAGTGTTTGCAGTTTTAGCCTGTATGTTGCTGTTGTACTCTTTGCCTTTCACTAAAGTGTGGTCAGATAAGGAAGCTAGCTGTGAGCCTTTTGATGTTACTGTGAGTCTGATTAATATAATTCAGACAGGAATTTCGCAAAACCTTTTCTCTTCCTTCCTTTCCTAGATTCCTCGCAGTAGGTCAGACACAGTGATGAGAAGCAGCAGTGAAAAACCTTGGAATCAGTCCTTGTGTGTACTTTGTCACCTGTAGCATTTTGGGTGCTGAGCCCTTTAGAAAAGGCAGCTGTTATTGTGCCTTTAGAATTTGCCGAGTGCTGAAAACTCATTAAAAGAAACTCAACTCTCTCCAAGTGCCTCAGGGTAAGCTATTTTCACCTTATAAACCTGTCAGCTAGCTGTGAATGCCCAGTGCTTGCAGCTTAACCCCTATAGCATAGCCAGCTCTCAGACGACCATCAGCAAGTGCTTAGCTTCCTTCTAGACCTCCTGTTTCAGATGTATATGCCTAACAGGTAGTGTGGCGCAGAGGAGCAGTCTCATTCTTCAGTTTACCTGGCCAGTCTAGTATGTAAATAAAGCATAGTACAACTTCCGTGCTACTGTCTCCCTCTATTTAATAGAGTGTCCCCACTGTCTTATTTGCTGCTTTGCCATCCCACCAGAACTGGGCTGAGTAATGTTGCCTCTACCCCGTTTCATAGCTCTGCAGGATGTGAAAAGGTTTCTGGAGCGCTCTGCAAGCCCTCTGGCCTCTGTCTCTGGAGTGGCTGTCTGTCAGGCAGGCGACTGTCCTGGGGCTGCTGTTACAGCCCAGGCCTTTAACCGGACAAGTGGGCTGAATTGTCAGATTGAGTTGTGGGCTGGTACTGCTCACATTGGTTGTGGTGGATGGATGTGTGCCTTACCTGCTTCCTGTTCGTGTAGGATATATAACAGTGCTGGCTGTTCATCATGCTGCCTCTCTCGGTAGGATGAAGGAAGAGCTAAAGAACAATTAATAGCGCTGGTAAGTATAACAGTTCTTGCATATGATATATTTTATATACTAGCAAGCGTGTCTTTGTGTATATGTATGTGAGCATGGAGGGGGAAATAATTAACGCTCTCATTTATGTAAACACAGGAGTAGCTTCCTAGCCTGGTTTTGTTTATGCATCTTCATGTACTAATAATGGCTCAAAAATAAAAAGGTACCTCACTGCCTAGTAAGATTTGCTACTAACAGAAGCAGTCCTTAGACTGCTCAATACAGCGAGTCCTCCTGGCAGCACAAGGGGGACAAAGTCCATGTAAAAACTGTCGATAATCAATTCATAGCCGTTTACAATGCTCAGAAGAAATTCAATTGCAAATCATACCTCAGGCTAGCATGTCTCCTTTTAATCACATTTTGAGGCTTTCTTACTCTAAGTGCTGTGAAAATGCTCCTTGGATTCATGGAACTGCCAGCAGGGTGTTTGGAAAATGATGCATTTTGCTATTGCTGCCATTGCACCTATGAAATGCAATGCTGTTCTCACTGAGAAACCCAAATATTTTAGATAAATATCAAACCCTACCAAAGAGCAGGCCTGAATGAAAGGACATGCTTATGTTATTGCTCTGAAGTACAGGATGTGCCACTCACATTGCTTTGCTCATGCGTACACTGGGATAGGCCGTGGCTGGCTGTACCTTCTGATTGAGACGTTTTGAACATGTTCACATCGGTGGTGAAATGAAATTAACTTACCCTTCATGAGTTCATGGTATTCAAGTTTGCCCATTGGATTTGCCTTCAGTTAAGCACACAGTTAACCTCTTTTCATTCCAATTAGTTGAAAACTAAGGATTTCCTTCCTTCTGTTTTGAACTGATATGTAAGAGGAAATCCGTAGATGTTCCTGTTTTGAGTAAACCTTTTACTAAGGGGTTCTACTTGTGTGTTTAAAAAAAGAATAGAAAGAAAGAAAAAGGTGGTATTGATTCAGACTTAGCACTAGAAGTAGCAGAACCACTTGTGAAGGCTTTGCAGCTAAGGAGTATGGTGTGAAAATGTTCTCTCCCTGTTCACTTTGAACCTCTGGTTCGTCTTGGATGTGATTCTTAGTAGGCGGTCTTATCCCGCAGAAATTGCAGCCTTTATCACCACCCCTTTCGTGAAAAGGGTCCTGCCTGTGAAACTATGAAAATGCATCCTCCTGGGTTGCTGTTTTTCTTCATAGCAGCATGTTTCACTCCCACAGCTGAGTGCCAGAGTCGGAAGGTAAGTCTGTGAGTCTTTGTTTCGCAGTTTAATGTTCATAGAACAGTTGTTCATATTTGGATGGTTGCATGTAGCATGTTTGGGAGACTACTTCTCCCAAAACCTCTCTTTTTCATTTCTGTCTAGTTAGGTGTGGAATAACATCCATAATTAAACTTTAAGACTGTAACGTGCCTTTTCTACTCATGAGTGGGTATGCGTGGTCTAAACTAAAGAGCTGAAATTAAGGTTGGAGCAACTGACTTGAACTTTAGATCAAATTAAATTTATAATGATGATCAGCACTGAATGCAAAGGCAGCAGTATGAAAGGACTGGTTGTCTTTGTCTTCTGCTCGCCTGAGTATGCATGATGGGAGCTTGGCATCTTGCAGGACAGGCCCCAAGTGTCCCAGGAGAATGTTCTAAAAAAAATTTCAAAAATCTCTTCCAAATTGTTTCTGTACAACAGAGTAAATACATTTGTTTCAAGTACATTTCCCAGCAGTTCCCCAATGAGGATTATGGAATACTTTCCCTGGGTTGATTTTGTTGCAACTTCCGTAACTCAAGTTCTTGTGTTTAGCAGCAGCAGCTAGAAGAATGTATGATGCCTTTGTAGACCTGTGGTCTAGGCTCCTTGGCTCAGTAGGTTGGAATGCGTGCTAATTCATATTACATTGTCTGCTGCCATTGCCCATGTTGTTTCCTGCTGTTGGAGGAATGAACTGGCCTACAAAGTCAGAAACTGAGAGAGGCGTTTGGAAATCTTATTCCCTAGAGCAATCTAGGCTATGGAAGGGTTGTCTTTTCTTGATAATCCTTGAGATGGGGCTTGGAGGGAGAAGGCAGTCCTTTGCTAAGGAAGATGCCACTGAGTCTGAAAAACTTAGTTTAGAAAAAGGCAGAGCGCTGAAAAGGCGCTTGAGTGTTAGAATTAAGGTGGATGCTTTTGATACAGACCCTTCCTTTAAAGGGCCTCAAACAGCTAATAAGCATGGAAATAAGGTCAGCAAGAAGCTCATGAATACCTTTGGACTTGTAGGATAATTAAAGTAACTTGAGCATAAATATGATTTTAAGACGTGTCTCTGCTAGTGTTTCTTATTTGTCTGGAAACAGAAATGGGTTCCAGTATGTTAATGCTTTCAGAGGCATGGGTTCATATCTTCAGCTAGTTTAAGGAGAATTTTGGTTTTTTGACTGGAGACACTGTGTTTCTGTAAACACTGAAGGGTCTGGCTTGGCACTGAAACAGTTAAAACATCAGGTAATGAGTACCCACTCCGAGAGACAGGAAATATTTTGAAATGACCTCTGGAGCAGTTTATTTAGTCCGTAAGAATAACCCTGTTTTAGAGTTTTTTCCCAACAAGGTGGTTATTGGGGAAAGAGAAGAAACATTGAAAAGGATATAAAGGGAGGTCAGGGAGAAGCAAAGGTCTAACAAAGTCTCCCCTAATATTTTAGGATGGCCATTGGATTTGGCTGCACTAGAACTACTGTGATTCCATGAGAGGCCTCCATCGGTTTGCAGGAGCCTTGCGGGGTGGGGGTACTGAGAGAGAAAAGAGATATTTTGAGCTAATATTTCCTGGAGTTATTTCCTCAGGGCTCTGATTCCGTGGCTCAAAATTGGCAACGTATCTGTTAGCCTAATTTGCTTTTTCTTACCTCTTTGTACCGTCTGGGCTGGGGCAGATGCCGCAGATGTGAGAACCGTAAGAGTTTTTCTGCTGGGAAGAGGCCAGGCCCAGGCTGCCCTGGAGGAGGGGTGGGAGGCAGGTGGGGAATGAGGGCAGTGCTCTGTGCATCCCTGTGCCTCCAATACCACTAGGGTGCAAGATGGGGAATACCCCAGTGCAACAGCGGATCTTGTAGCTAGTTGATAACCAAAACCACTGTGAAAATGCCGAGGTGAACTTGGTCTTATGTGATCTTTGAGCTAGGTTGTTCAGCCTCATACTGAGAAGTTGCCTCTTTGGTCAAGTTCAAAGGTTTCTGTATCCGGGAGCCTCCAATCTGTTCAACTAAATGGTTACTGAGAACTTCTTGAGGGGTTACATGACTCTAATGACTCAAGCATGTGCCTGCAGCTCTGTTTTGTAAAGGGCAAGTGCACTGGAAACTTGGTGATTCATTAGATAATAACTGTTTCCAGAGCTGGCTCCCAGGATTGTTGGAGCCAAACGCTGACGTCCAAATGTGTTTTTCTTTCTTCCTTTAAGTGTTGCCTTGCAGAAGGATTTGTGTTATGGTTTAGGAGGAAAAGATAAAGGGAGAAAATGAGGGTAATGACATTAGCCCTTAAAAAAATTCCCATCTTGTTCTCTTGAGACAGAGTAAGAGGAGCATGAGTACTTGTGAAGTAAGGAACATCCTTGTCAGAGTGGGGTCGGGGGAAGAAACATGAGGGCATCCAGAAGGTCAGATATGTCTGAACCGAAGTGCAGAAGGCAGTGGCCGATCATGTACACGATGTAAGGTAGTGAGTGAGCGCAAGGAGAAAGCACAGCCTAGCCCTGGCAAGACAAACCTCAGTGTGGGCAGAGGCACCCTGCCTCTTCACTTCTGTTGGCTGCAGCTGCATCTCTTCTGCTTCAAAATCCTCCTTTGACTTTGGAGCTGTTACAGAGCGCTAGGCTTCCTTTTCCTTGCTTTGTACCAAGAGTGTGATACAATACAGTCCGGGCTTACAACATGATTTGATCAGAATAGTGCCTCTTTTCACCTGCTTTTCCCCTCATGAGCACCATGTGGGGCGCACCTCATAACATCACAGAAGGCAATGCAGAAACAGGCCTCTGGACCGCACTGACTTTCAGCCTGTCAGACAATTTTAGTACATCAGAGAAGCAGGCATTCCCTCTCGCTATTTCCTCTCCATTGCCTTCAAACTCGGAAATAACAGTCGCAGATGAGCCCAAGAGAGCAGTGTGTCACTGTTTTTAAAGTTATGCTGCGTCCTAGGAGCCGTCTCTGACTTCAACTTCGGTCTAACTTTAATCCTCTCCAAATCTGGAGTATCCAAACCATAGCATTTAAGCCTCTTGATTCCCTCTTCTTCTGCTTTTCTAGGAAGCAAAACTTTCCAGAAAGTGACTGCTTCTTCAGTTCTGTCACTCTGATGAGAAGGGACGTACTTCTTTTTTTTCTCTGTCTTCCACGCAGCTGTTTTCTTCCCCTTTTCTCCTGCCTGTTGCTGCTGACACAAGCATATTTCCTTATAAAAGGGGAAGGTATTACTGGAAAGCAGCCTAAACCTCATGAAGCATCCTGGGAAAATAGGGTAGGGGGGAATTCCACGAAAACTGTCTTGTCTTAGAGGCCTTATTTTTGTGCTGAAGATGAGTTACAAGTAACCAAAGAAGCCAACAGGGAGGAGTGACAGCCCTTCTCCTTCCACAGTGTCCATCTTCATTGAGAAGTGGGGCCACACAGGTGGAGGAAAGAGAAGACAAATTGAGTAAGCTGATGTCTTCATCCGTCATTTAATGGCCTAACTGTATCTGGTAGCCAACTCCCAAGGATTGAAAGTGAGGACGAAATGGAAGATTTGGAGGGTTTTAATTTAGGGGTTTTTTTGTGCTCTACTGTTTCTGTGGTCTTTTTCATACAGATTGGGAAGCTCAGGAACCTGGTAAGGGCTTGTGGTGTAATTATGACAGTGTTAACGCCATTGCTCATGGAGGTCTTCCACCTCTGTATTTCTTTCTTGGAGATCTTCTCATTTCTTTTTCTGAGGCATTCTGTCCGTGAAGGTTAAGGCTTTGATATGACCAGAGGCAAGAGAGGTACAGTTCTGTCAGAACCTCATGCCTAGCTTCATCTGGCTCCTTTCAAAATCCCAGCTTCAACCTGGAGTCCTAATTTGTACTCAAATCAGCTGGTTGGACCTGCTTCTTCCCCACCCTATTAATGGCACTACTGACCTTTTGAGAACAAGTACTCCGGAGGTAGCACCTCCTTTATCCATCCATCCATGTGGCCTGTCTTTTCTTTTTTGCTCCATGAAAAAGTGAAATCTCTTCTCACTGCCCTGTGTGCCAGTGGGATAGAAACACAAGGGACAGCAAAGGTGATCTCTTTCCTGCTGCATAAAATTAGTAATGCTGAGGCTCACAGCCAAGGATGGGTGGAGTCGGTGGATCTCAGATTTATTTTGAGCTGTTTATAATGCAGAGAAGAGTGTTCTTGACATAGCAGGTTCCTTCAGGATTCTGCTCCCAAAGGAAGTGGAGGTTACTGTGGGGTAAGGAAAGCCTTCTCCTGACACCAGGAACAGAAGGGTTGGAGCTCAGCCAAGAAGGACAGAGCAGAATGCAAACAGGGATTATAGATGTGGGAACCAAAGTCCCGAAGTGCAGGGAGACTGAAGGGATCCTGGCTTACAAGCCATAAAGCTAGGCCTGCTGGTGGCAGGCCCCAGCTGGGACCGTGAGCTTCTCTTACGGAACAGATGCACAAGTGGTAATGAATGGCCCTGTGAGGGGCCACCACAGACACAGGAGATGCTGTGTTCATTAGGCAGCATTCCCTGCATGGATGGCTGCAGAAGATGAATCCATGAAGACGGGAAAATAGTCAACAACTTCAGGCAGAAGTGACATGGCTGTGAGTCAGGAAATTGTTCCAGGAAGACATCCCTGCAGAGCTGGGAGCTGAAGGTTATCTCTCAGGAGGTTTTCCTGACAGGGTCTGCTGGCTGTCATCTGGGAGTGCCTTCCTGAGCTGTCGATAATGGATGGGAAGCAGCAGGCTTCCTCCCTTTCCCTGAGGCAAATGCATGCATTTGGGCTTGCTTAGGTTCAGAGAAAGCAGAGCTGAGCTGAGACTGCTGATGGGAGTCTAAAATAGGGAGTTCTGGGCATGTGAGAGACGCTCCATTAACAGCATTGTTCAGTACTGTCTTTAAAAAATCCCAAATCAAGGCCTCCACCCAAAATTTGATCTAATGTTTTTAATTTTAGAAAATAAATTGCCTGTACAGGCACAGCTGAGGTCAGCTGTATAACCTTTTGGGGAAAACACAGCTCGTGCGTCCCAGCTTTTCTCTGCTATCGTTAAGTGGCAAACATTCTCTCTTTTTAGAAAGAGTGCTGAGGTTCCCCTGCATTTGCTTGATTCTAAGAGTTTAGGAGCCTTTTTGTGGTAAAATCATGAGCTTTGACCACAAGCTGGCATACAATTATGATTATTTTCTCTGAGGCTATATTTTTCTCATCTGTTCTGGCTGCTTTTCCTTTGGGGAAGGAAGGCTGGAGGGTAGAGGGGTATGGAAAAACCCTGTGAGGAAGCCTGAGCCACCAGAGAGAAATGTTTCTGGTTAAACAGAGGGACTCATGCTGAATTTATAACCAGCTGTGTCAGCTGTGTAAGTGTCCTGTCTGATCTTCTTGCCAGTGAGGTCCTTAATGAGGTCCTTTTCACTTAAGGTCAAAACATCAAGATAGGTTGGATAGCTGCAGAGCAACTTTTCTGTAAGCCCCATCCCCACGCCTCCTCTAAGACAGTCGCCATAAGCAGTACTTGTACGAGCAGCTCCTGGTCTCTGGGAAACAGACTGAACCAACCTCTTCACTTCTTCAGACCCATGAAGCAGCGATGAAATCACCAGTGAACTGAATTGATCACTGGCATGGAAAACAGGAATGCGGAGCTGCATTTTAATTCTGTGTCCTCTGCAGAGCGTTTAGGGCTTGTTCTCACATGCCACTACAACGCGTTTGCAAAAGATCAGCTTAAAATAGCAGAGTACGATTATGATTATTTTAGAATTTTTGTGGTGAGGCAAGGGGAAAGAGAAGGGAAAATGATGGCAAAAATCTCTCCTTCTAATGTCAAATGGCTCTTTACAGCAAAAATGTATGAGCTTGAACCTGACAGGTTCAGTGCAATCATCATCATTTGCAAAGAAAATAAAAGCTGTTCTGTGTTGCACTGTCAGGTGTAATACCTGCCAACTTTGGCTACTCCAGAAGATGAATCAAGGTTTGAATTTAATTTTGCAGGTAGGTGTGATCTGCCCTATTATCTTCTAGCTGAGGTCCAAACGGAGTAATATGCATCAATGTAACATCATGGTTTATCCCATATGAATTTGTGGTGTACCATAGGGAAGCTACACTGGTCAGTGCCCTCTCTGTTGTTCTTCTCAAGAATGGTGCAAGGTTAATAAAGATACTGAAGGCTGACAAGATGAATGGCTGATGTTACAAGGTAATTTTGGGTTCATTTCTATTCTGCTTTTCTTTTTAAGTTAAAATCCATGCAGTGCAACGTCAGGATGACGTTTACCATGAATACAGCCTGTACTGTTTGTGCTGCAGCTCCCAAAATGTTTTGTCCGAGAGGCTGGATAAAGACCACCCAGGGATTAGGAGTGAGGGACTGCAGGTAAGGTCTTTTTCTTCCTATTCCTGTTAGGGTTTTGGGGCAGCCTGCAATATGAGGAGTAACATGTGTGTCTTCAGGAGAATGCAGGGGGGGTTTTCCCACACGTTTCAACACAGGCTCTTCTGATATGGGCTAGTGAGAAACTCAAAGGTGGAACCAAACTCCTCTTGGTGGTGCCAGACAATATAACAGCAGACAAAGTGCATCTTAAGAAAAAGATTTTCAGTGGGAGGGTAGTGCACCACTGGGACAGGACACAAAGAGGGGTGGAATCTCCATCCTTAGAGGTTTTCAGGCAAAACCTTTGCCCAGGCAAAGCCATGACTAATTTGTTGTTGATGGTCCCAATTTGAGAGGGAGGTTGGCCTAGAGACCTCTAGAAGTCCCTGAAGTTCCCCCTCCTCAGTATTTCTGTGACTTTGTGAAACAGCTTTCTGTGAAACTAGGGGACCGAATGATGCTGTTGATCCTTATTGACTGGGGAACAAAATGACAATCAGCCCCCACACCTTTGGTACATGCATGCACACACACATATTTGATTATATGAATATTTAATAGTCATGTTGCTGTATCTATGCCATTTAAAAACCTCAAAGAACTTTATGAATGTTCATTCCTCAAGCCTCCAACTGTGAATCAGGAAGGTAGTATTTCAGAGGAGCAGCAGCAGCAGCCCCTGTTTTTTGAAGCACCTGAAAGAAAATTGGCCTGATCACTGCTGTTAACGGAAGTGTGGCAGGTCTGAATGAGTTGAGGCAGGAGTTTTGAGGACTCACAGCTCTAAAGATCCGAGGTGTTTTGTTTTCAGGTGCATAAAAATGGATGTATGGCCCCTACTCTTGTTATTTTTGTCTCCTTGCCATCCCATGGACTTTTTGCTGGACATAAAGTTTTGTATACAGAGAACAAGTCACACAATAATTACTTTTACCTTGCCCTCAACAACATGAGCTAATCCTGCTGTAGCAACTAAACAGAGGTTTGTCTAGCATAGGAACCTTTTCCAGAACCAACATTTGATAGTGGATTATTAGGGAAATAATATGATGATATTTCCCAGTGTATATCCTCACAGCTTCCAGCAAAAATCCCCTGAACTTTTAAACTTCCTAGTTCTCCGTAAGAGAATTGCTTGTTCTGGTGTTCTTTGCTCTTTATTTGCTCTTTTTTTTTGGTCATCTGTTGAGCTGGATGCATTTGTATAGCTTGGCTCTAATAGGAAAAGGGTGAGGGGAAACTAAATTTGCCAAGAAGTTTTTCAAAACAAAACACTATTGATTATTGTTTGCATTATCTATTCAGTAGAGAATGTTAACAGTTAATATATAGCTCCATTGTCTACTGTCTTCTGTGTTTCACTGTTCTGTAGAAATACTCTAAAAATAGCTATAGCAGTCTTGCAGTAATCACAGACACACATAGGAGTTAGATTGAATCAAAAGGGGTAATGCTATCTGAGAGAAGTTCCAAGTTCCTTTTGAAAAGGCAGTTGTGCCAAAAATAAAATGAAGTGTAAGAATAATGTAAGTGGGTCCCAGCTTTTCTAAGTGTTTCATGTTGTTGTTGTGGTAGTGGTGGTTGTAGGGTCCCAAGAATAGGTGTGCACTACTCAGGCACTGCATGCATGCAGAAAAAGAGATGCTCTGCCACCCCCAAGGGCTTATACTGTGTGTAAAGGTGGTGGATGAAGGGTTGAAAAGGGGAAAGATACTCCTCTTGAACAATGAAGTGGTTTGTTCAAGATCACATGGAGAATTAATGAATAACACAGGCATTGAATCCAAATTTCTAGCATCCCAGTCTTCAGCATAAGACAGAAAAGGACGAGTCCTACAAGGAAACTATGTTCTTTCAAGGTTCTTTCAAGAGTGAAGTCTAATTTGAGTCACCTTGGAGGTCCTAACTCTGTCTCTATGCTGTCTAACTCTCCAGCATTCAAAATTTTTGTCCTGGTGCCATCAAATTGTCCAGGGTCCTGTCTCATGCCCAGGCCCTGGCAGAATTCTTGTAACCGATCTTTGGAGCTCAAGCTAGCAGGCATCCTTAGAGAAGACATAACCAGAGAGTGCTGGGAACAAAACTCTTGTGTGCATGTATGGCTTTGTAGCTCAAGACTAAGATTCTAAGCTGGGTCCAAAGTGCGACAGAAAGGTAATGAATGAGCATCCACCCTCCTGCCTGGGGGGATCTCCCTAAGTATATGATTTCATTTCTTGCATCAGTCTGTCACAGTCCTCGGTGCTGCAGTATGACTGCTTAGAAACCCTCCAACAAGTGTATGGTCAATACCAATTCATACAAACTGTGCTGAGCCCAAAGTTTATGCTGTAATCACAAATCTCGGATTGTTCTTTTTAAGATACACTGTCAAGTTAGGAGAAAACACGCTTTCCCAGCCAGGGTGCCGTCACATATGTAAGAAGGAAATTGAGGAGAAAAAGTGCTGCCCAGGATTCTGGGGTACAGAGTGCTATGGTAAGTTTTTCATCTCTTTACAGAGGTCTCTCTAGATATTGAATAGGCCAAACCAGTTTTAACATAAGGCATTAGGTATTTGAGGTGATTAATTTTCATTATTCCCCTTCCTGCTTTCTGAACACTCACAAGATTTCCCTTATCTATCTCGGAGGGTCAGAAGAGAATCGAGAAATAACCTTTTTGCTTCAGACGAGTTGAAGCCCCTTACTTTTAACACATAATATAACCTGCTTTGGTAGAACTTCCTTTTGTCTCTTCTTTAAAAAAGAACGTTTTGGAAAGGGATTTTTTTTGGTCCTCTTTCAGAAAGTTTCCAAAGGAAGAGGAAGATATTTCTTGCTGATGTTCCTCCAATTTGGAGCGTGTTTGCCATATATGCTTCCGTATAGTTTGAAGCTAGTCAGCAGTTCAATTACTGAAAATACTTAACGATTCCACCCCTCCCATTCACTTTTATGCTAAATAATTAGAATTTGAAAATGTTTAGTTCTGTTTCTTCTTGTCTCAGCAATTCAAAACCAAGACATATCAAGCCTAATAGTTTTCATACAATTGCCTAATCACGGGAACATGGAGAAGATTCTCCAGTACTGCAGAAAATGGGAGGTTACTTGAGTCTGTTTTCACATGGAAGTGATTTGAATAAGCAGTTGGCTTGGTCAGAGGAATCCCATCCCTAAAATTTTCAAAATAGTCTCTAGAATTTGGAGGTACCCCACTCCAAAGACACATTGACCATGTTTTCCTGAGCATTCCCAACTCTTCGTGAAGTCAGGAGAAGCTACAGATGCTCAGTATCTTTGAAAAGCAGACTCCCATCTGTCTTGAGTTTCAGAACTGCCTTCACATGGCTGATACCATCTCTCGCTGATGCTAGCAGACTGAAAATAGTGGCTGGATCCCCCAAAATGTTTAGTGCTTTTGTGGAAATTAAGTTAGTTACAACTCCTTGGAAGCTTTCTTAGCCTTTTATTAAAGGCTAAATGGATAATATTTGTCAACTACCACAACAGGAAAACAAAATAATTAGTGATTCAATAGATGGCAGGTTATCCTCTTTGTTTAGATGGCAACCAGATTGCTCCTTGGTGCCGCTCCTGGCCATTTTCACCAGCTCTGGGGCATTGTTAGCCATATTGGATAATCAGGCAGGGACTTGACTGGTTGAGATCCTGTTGCTTTTGGAAAGCCTGTGGAAGAGGAGATGGAAAGGGGATGGGAGCACTGATTTTGCACTGTAATCTTGTTTGGCCTGTCTCTTGTTTCCTAGAGTGCCCGGGTGGTTCTCAAAATCCCTGCAGTGGCCATGGGATGTGCTTGGATGGTATACAGCGAAACGGGACCTGCATCTGCAAGGTCAGAGCATGATTTATTCTGAGGGTGATGTGCTTTTGTCAGAGGGAGTTGTACAGCTTCTGTGTGGGTGCTCTGGATGAAGGATGGCCTTCCGCATGGGAGGTCATTAGCAGGTTCTTTCATTCAGCATCAATGTCTGTGGTTTTCTCGGAGGATTAGTGCAGTCTGGAACAGCACTAAGACCCTAAATGTTGAGGGTATGGAGCTGGGAAGGCTCTCTGGAAAGAAAATGAAGGAAGAACTGCTTGGGGTGGGATTTAACTCTGATCAGTTGAAATAATCAGTATCGGTCTCGCTGCAAGAACCCTTGCGGCGTTTGGTTCTTAAAGGCCTGTCCCTTTTCCATACTCGGACGATATACTTTCCAAATGAATTGGTCCTGCACTCTGGCAGCCAGATCCTCCCGATCTCAGGAAAAGCAAGAGATGGTTTAGGGCAAAGGGATATTTTTTTCACTACAGCTCCAGACTCAGTACAGCAAAAGTGTAAATAATTCTTGCAGATGTGAATAATATAGGGCAGTGGTTCTAAAATTTTTAGCTTCACAGATTAGTATCAGACTTCAAACTTTCTCTCATATGAACTGTACATTTTTATAGCATCCTTAAATAAAAGCATTGTCAAAGGATAAGCTAGAATCCTACCTCTTGGACCACTCTTTGAGAACCGCTGATTTTAGACTTAACTCAAAGACCCCTTAAATCAATTAAAATATATGTTGAAGGTCCCCAAGCCCTATAAAATCAATGTCAAAAGTGCCATTCCAAATTTCTTTCTCAGAGAGATAGCAGAAGCCAGCCGGTACATTTCTGTCTATTTGTGACCAGGGCATTGTTTCATTTTCTCAGTGCCTGTCAGAGTTTTACTGGTGTTTTGCATGTCCTCTGTGTGTAGGCTTGCCCTGTGATCTTCTCTGAGGGCTAGTTGATAGTACTAGAGCATTAGACAGATAAATTTTCCTTACTGTATTGCTTCAGCTGTCACAGAAAATCAGAAGTGGGGAGAGACTTCAAGCTATGACAATGTTGGGAACAATGCAGCGATATAGAAAAATAACAACTGGTACATTTTGCACCCCTTCTAGGAGCAATTCAGTGGTTTTGCCTGCCAGAATTGTCGAGATGAAAATCGTTTTGGCCCAGACTGTCAGTCAGGTGAGGATGAGCAATTCAGGTGAAACCACTACAAAAGTACCTGAGAGCAAGGAAAGAGGAGGGGGAAGCGGAGTGAGGAAGGGTGCTGGAGAGGAAGAGGGGATGCCATGTGACAGTGTTTAATAGCAGGTATCTTGGCGTTTCATCTTTCTGTCCTTCTGATACGACACTACTTGGTTCATTCATTGGGAAGGAGCTGAGACTCTGGTCTCCCAAGAGGGTGCTGGACTGATGCAATGGGAGGTCTGAGGCCTACACTTTAACCTTATAATTGTCCCCAAAGTGTGTTAAATGCCAGCTTTCTTCTTCTTAAAGGCACTCACCTATAACTTATTAAGTGGCCCTATGTGAAAAATCAGGCCTCTGGTTTCGTCAGCTGTAAGCACCGGCTCAGGGGAACAGGGCCATGCTGTCATTTGCCAAGTAGCTCCGGTCTTTTAGAAACAAAATTTCCCTCACTGTCCCAGGAGACAAATTATTCTGGTCTCTCACTCAGATCAGTCCATTTTCCCTACTGTGATTTCACTTTCTCTCCTTACCAGGGTGGTCCCAGAAAGCTCTGCAGTTTCTTGTCTCTTTTTAGCCAGCCCATGTTACCTACGTCCCACATCCCCCAGAAGTTGCCCACATTCCTTCCCAACTGTCTTTCAAACTCCTGCCACTGCCTGAGTTGTGAGCAACTTCTTCCTTGTTGCCCTCCCAACAAATTAATACGCACAGTGCTACTTCTCATTTATTTTATTTTAGGAAGTAATTTATGACCAGGGCAGCCTAGTTGCTAAAGAAGCCCTTGCTGACTATTGCCTGGTTCCCTTGCATCCCTGTAGATCTACGTAGGTGTGATCTCAGTGCTCGAGCTCACAGAACAGCGCCAATGCTAGGATCACAAGAGCAGGAGCCTGTCATAACACTCCCTCCTTCCTTGCTGTAGGACTGCAGGAGACTGGGAGGAGTGGGAAGGTAAAACATGTGTCTGAAAAGCTGGTCCAGATTTTGCATTTGAGACTGCTCTTACAGGGCAACACTTTGTTCTCTTCAGCTGAGGACTTGCAGTATGTCCTCTGGAAGCTCCAACTGGCACGGCTTCTCTTTTAGAAGGAACTAAGTGTGCTGTGGATTATTGGTGGGAAATCAGGGTGCCAAGTCCCAGGGCATTTGGCCAGTGCATGACCAGAGCCGTACACACTGCCTTGTAGCTCTTAAAGTCAGGTTTGTCTGGACTTTCTTTGCAGCATGTGACTGTGTGCATGGGGAATGCAACAGCGGTGTCACTGGAAACGGAAGCTGCACTTGCTATGGAGGCTACACTGGCCCCAGATGTGACCAAGGTAGATACACTGGTAGCTGAAAAGGGGCTGAAGGGGCTGTTGAGCTAAATTACGAAATGGGCTTGGATATAGGGAGGTGGCAGAGGGATAAATAGCTTGGGAAAGGGAAGATGATCAGAGTACGGGAGAATTGGACAAAGGGAAAAGCTCGGGTCTCTTTCCCACTCCGTAAGTGACAGTGGCCAAGAGGTACCATCTCTTTGTGCCTCTCTTCTTTCTCTGGAAATGAAGTAGATCCTCCTTTTCTCTCTTTTGTAAGGTAAATTGTATCTTCCAGAAGTGCCCCTCATGCTCAAAGGGAAAATTCTCTTTGCTATGTGTTTCCAGAACTTCCCCTTTGCAAAGGCATGATGTGTGAGGCTGACAGCCAGTGTGTGGTAAAGCACGAGACAGCGATGTGTGACTGCAAGCCGGGCTACAGAAAAAGTGGGAGCACTTGCCAAGGTGACAAACTTCCCTGTGACCCTAAATGGTTCTCTATTTGGAAAAATATTCTGCAGCTCTGGATGAATCTGATGACTGTGACTACAACAGTCTACCTAACTGTGGAGGCTTAAGGACCTGGTTTTTAGGAATCCCTTTAATATGACTCCATCCAGCACTTGCCTATATGTATGTACTGAATAACCATGACAGCAGGATACTTGGTGAGTCTGTGCCAGTTTAGATGAGTAAAGGCATGTAATTTGCATGTGTCTTCACTGATTTTAAATTTAAGTTTGTGAATTGCATTTGTTAAAAGAAAGTCAGTAACATCCATGTGACTAGCTAGCAATGGTTAGCTCCATTTTCACTGGCTTTTTGCAGTTTTAGCTGTTAAATTGACCATACTCCAGTTTCAGGTACTCCTAGACGTGATGGAAAATCAGAAGTAAATCCAAGCATCTTCCTTCTGTTACTGACCTTTGTGTTACTGAAGTAATTTGAGGAATGTCTCAACCAAATTCCTCCAATTAAAAAATCCAAACCCTCTGCTCTCTGAAATTATATATTTTCCTGGGAAATTTTAGAAGTTTAGTGGAATAAATTCGTTGTCCTCCATTCTTCCTGGGCCCTTGGCTTTCTGCTGTGCCACAGTAAGGGCTGTTTTGAAAACAGGATTTTGGTTACTCCTTCACCGCTCGTCTCTTTATTTGCAGTTGAGGATCCCTGTGCTTCTTCACCATGCTCCCCCTCAGCTGCATGTAAGGTTCTTGGACCACGAAAGTATGAATGTACCTGCAAAGAAGGATTTCAAGGAGATGGGAAGATATGCCAGCCCATAAACCCCTGTGTTGACAGCAATGGAGGCTGCCCAGAAAACTCTACACTCTGTGTTTACAAACGTCCAGGGGAGGTAAGGGCAATAACAGCATGTCAGCAACATGTAAGTGTCAGAAAACAGTGAGGAGAGAATTTCTTCCAATGAGGCTCATGATCATATTGGTCAAACCTACTATCCTCACTTTAAATTGTGCAGGTGGAAATCAGCCAGCTCTTTTTTTTTTTTTTTTTTTTGCTTACTGGGTAAGAGATGATAAATGCAGAATTATAATCACTGCTTTGTCTTCCCTTAGGCATCTTGTGTTTGCAAGCCTGGTATGAGTAGGATAAATTCTTCAGCAGGCTGTTCTGTGTTTCCCAATGACTGCCGGCCATATTTTTGCGACTTGACTTCCAAGTGTGAAATTAATTCCCACGGGAATCCTAGGTGAGCCCATCTAAAGCTTGCTATTAAAGAAGCAGATTCTGCAGCTAGAATGGCAATTGTGTTTGGGTGCACTGAAAGAACAGAGACCTAAAAGAGGATAATGTGCCAGAGGCACCTTTTGAGAAGAGCCTATTTGTAATAAACCCATTGAAAGTAACAGGTTTTACTTCAGTAAGTGTAAGTCTTAGCATGTGGATCACAAGAGGCTTTAAATTTGAGGCAGGAGAGTCCTCTGTGACATGAACTGGAGGAAGAGGAATAGCTCTGCAAGTTGGTGGTAGTAGTAGGATATTATTCAGTTAATGATCCGTCACTAAAAGGTGTGTGTGACTCATTTGGTTAGTGTGTTATTCTAAGAAATCCCACTTTTGGTTCTGAGGGCTAAATCTTTGGCTCTTCTCTCACTCAGCCCTGTAAGCAAGAAATGAATTAAAGTTGCGGAATGACAGGGAAGGGGGGCTGAGGGAAAAAAACACCAGACTTCATTTAGTCCTCTTCGGAGCAAAACACCTAAAAATTGATACTCCTTAGACGGGAAACATTGCCAGATCTAAGATCATTTTGGCATAATGGCCTCCCAAACGCCAGAGGAAGCTTCACAGAGTATTTTGTGTGTTAGCAAGAAAAGCTGGAGCTTCTCTGAGAGACGGAGACGGAAGAGGGAAAGGGCAGTCCCATCTCCTTGACCTTTCCTTCTTCAGTGTTGCTAAAACTTCTAGCGCTCCCCTGCTCATTGTGCGCTCCAGGCCAGAAAAGAAACACGGTGACTTCGTCCTCTGAAGGCATGCCAGTGAAGGGCAGGACTCTGTGCTCAGCACAGTCCCTGCCTTTAGCATATCTGTTCCTTAGAAGCTGGCACTCAGCCCTGTGAGGCTGGAGTAATGTCAGATTTGTCCCCTGTCCCACACGTTTCTGCTAGCAAGAGCAGAGCTGATACTTGGATAAAACCCAAACAGGAAAAAGTGTGGTTATCGGCCAGTAATCTTAAGTTGTTTCTGAGTAATGACTATAAATCCTTGTGAATCAGGACAGAGATTTTCTCATGTAGATAAGCCTTTCTGCAAAAGTCATTAGCCTGTTTGGAGCCTTCCTTAAGTCTAAGATGAACCACAGCTAGCTGCTGTGCTGGAACTGACACTTTTCACTGCGATATGATGAAGTCGAGGTGTCACAGAGGAGCTATTTATTTGCTGGATTTTCACTTATACCTTCATTTTTTATACTGACCTCCGATTTTCAGCTGCTCTTATGACTGGTACTGACTAAATACTTAGATAGAGAGGTCTTGATGAATATATTGTGGCTATCTGCGCACTGAACTTACTCTAGAGCAGTTTTGTTTAATCTCGAATTTACTTGCACTTCAGAAGTGTCCATCTTCTTTTCTGTCACTTATTTTAGACTAAAGTTACTAAGTTCTTACCTACACCTTAAAGTTGAGATTCATCTTCCAAATGTAGATATTAATATGTTGTCCCACTAAATTTGTCAAATCTGTTGAGAACTGCCTTATAATGGATTGCTATGTTTCATTTTTGTCTCTTAGCTGTGTCTGTAAAGAAGGGGAGATTGGAGATGGGAGAAGTTGCTATAAAGATCTCATGAGTGAAATAAATCAACAGAATTCGCGAGGAAGGTTTGTTAGGAGATTAAACGTCGCCAAGAAAATGTTTGGTAACTGTCTTCTGAATTTGTTTAGGGAACGGAGCAAGGGTGGGGACAAGAGTGTGTCAGCAACAGGCTAAAAGCTGCCAATCATAATAGATTTATTTCACAGTGTATGACCATGTGCTGCAAAATCAAACGAGTCACATATCTGAACTCATATTCTCAATGCTGGACTGTGAACTGAGGAAACTGTTGCAAAGAACAGTGTGGAAGAGTATTTGGTATTCATCAGTCCGCAAAAGAAGGGAAACGTATGGCTCGGGTGTAATTCAAACCCCTTTGTATCAAACCACCAGAGTGTCTCCAACTTGCAGATCTATGCTGAAGGTTCAGCAATCTTTCAGCTGTGGCTGCATTTTCGAGCAGAGGTATCTCTATATGTGAGGCTGATGTGCCATGGATCCTCATCCAGACAGTGGTAGAGCATCTGCTTGTTTCTTTTCACCTAAGCCATTAAAAAGTCTCCTTGCCTGCTCATATTACATGTGAATGACCATTATACAGGTGAAAGAACTTTATCCTGTGCACTGTTGTACTTTTAAAGTGAGGAATTGCTTTGCAAAATGTGGAAAACTTTAGAAGCCATGTACTGCAAGCTTGGGGATTGGTGTCTGCAGAGGTTAATTTGTGCTTCTTTGTAACCCAAGGAAAGAATGAGACTCCTTTAGCTCATGACAAAACATTTTTCTGTTAGACACCTTCTCCAAATTATTCTCTGTACAGTCTATCTCCACTGACTTGACGGGGCAATAGAGAGATTAGGGCCAAAATTCAGAATAGTGTTTATGAATACCCCTCTTCCCTGCACGTACCAGTGTTACCAACATTCGTTTTTTGTATGTTTTCCATACTCATTTGTGCTATCAGCAACTGCACAAAGGTGTCTGGGTTCCTAACTAGTGTGCAGGGGAATTTAATACCTAACAGTCTTTGCTGATGTAGACTTTGTTGATGGGCCATTGATGACGGAGTGAAGGCTAACTACTGTGGGTTCAGAGCAGCTTCTCAAGAAACATTTAGTCTCAGTTAATACTGAGGACAACCAGAAATGAATTGTCTCAAGGGCAAGACTGAGGACATTTGGCCCAAGAATAAAGTAGTAGGAATGTGAGAATTAAATTATTGTGAGTATTCTGCAAACGTCAGCACTGATCCAAAGTACACCGAGATCACCAGCATCACTTCAACAATCTTGTGGGTAAGCGCTTAAAACTAATACCCACCTAGGTGGGCTGCGATGCCTTAGGAATCCCAAAGTCCCTTCAGTTCCTTGCAAATATATACTAGTCACTTGCTGAAGATAGGTGGACTGGATTATGTTGTTAACCAGAGGAATATCATTGCTGGAGTTAAACCACATGCCAAGTAACTACTTTATGTTGCCACTTTTTACAGCTTCTGGTTGTTCAATGTTGCTGACTAAATATGGGCCTTTCACAGTCTTTGTACCGTCCCTCCTTCTGATTCACGATAAAATGGAATTCAATGTAAGTTTTCTTGCTTTTAGCAAACTTTTACTCTGTTAGGATTTCTTCCTGCCTGGCTTCTGCAACCTATAAAACCAATGGACAACTGAGAAATTTTGGAAGGTAGTACTTGCACAAGCAATCTCTTGGGAAGACTGTTCATTGTCTGGTCAAGTTGCAGTCTCACAGAAGATGTTACATCCCTTTGCATTATTTTGAAAACCTCTGTCTCTCCCTTCAGTATTCCCAGAGTTTGTTTGTTTTTAATGTCAGGGAATATAACCTCAGAAAACCTAAATTCTTCTGGCCATTCTTCATTTAAAGCTCCTACTTCTTGTGTGTAACTACTCTCAACACTTTAGGTGGCTTTCACTGCTTCATGGTGGGATTTTCAAAAGCATTCAGCAGTAGTCAACATTCTTCTCCTATTGACTTCTGCTGCGGGGCACGTTTGGAAGTCACTCTCTACTAAATTATGAAAGACTCCTGATCCCTTAATTAAGCTAAATTGAATCTTGAGCAAAAATTTAGGATCTGAACCTCATGGGGGTTAAGACTCCTAGCCTCTATGCGAATTTTATAAATGCTTCTGATCTTTACAACAAGTCAGTCCAAAGCTCTGCACACAGATCTCTTGAATTCTGAAAAGAGGTTGAGATCTGCACCCAAGCATTGGATTTTGGCCATTCCTTGTCAGAGCCCCAGGTACGGGTATGGTGTTGACTTTTTGGGAAGAGCTAATTTCACCAGTGGGGTCAGCAAGGATGACAGGGCCAGAGAAAACTGCTATTGAAGCTGAGATAAGAGTTCAGGAGTTCTGGGCTTCAACAAGTAGGTCCTACAGGTCGCACTGCCATTTTATTTATTTTTTAATTAAACTGTGTTCATTTGCAGTAGTTTTTTCATAGCCAAGCCCAAAACTAGGCCATCCATTTTGCCATGACAGAGCCAAAAATCAGCATATGCGAGCTACAAATGCAGCTCATGCAGTAGAGATTTCAGTTGCATGCTAGGCAAGATTCCTGTTGTGTTTCAGCTGGAAGTTAGCTTTCAGCTAGCACACAAATATGAGAAGGGAAACGTCTAAAAAATAACCCGTTCAAACCCACCCCTTTTGAATGTTGCATTTCTAGCTGTACTAGAAATGTCATTCCTCCTCAAGCTTGATCATAAAGCTATCTGTGCAGCAGCAGTAACTCATCTACAGTCTATGGAGCAACTCCTGGCTGAAAATGCCAGGGAATTAGCCATCTCCTAATACCTTGTTGAGCAGAGGTTTCCACTACAATGAGTAAGGCCCTGTGCCTAGGTCACAGTGGCAACTTCTAGAATCACAGAAAATAGGCCAGGAAGGGCCTTCGAGTTGTCTAGACCACCTGTTTCCCCCAAGGAAGGAGCACTTCTACTTAAGGCAGCAGTAATAGATGATTGTCTTAAAAAACACCTGTGATGGAAAGCGCAGAAAAGAAAAGGAGAAACCAAATATAAATTCAGCACCTCAGACCGTCTACATGGTCCAACGTAAATGAAGCCTGTATGTGAGGACCTTACACAAGTTTTGTAACCTGGGGCATGCAGGGATAGTTTTAAAATTGTCCAAATATAGTAGGTTTCTCTATAGCGGATCCCCCCAAAGTCACTTACCAATGAATCAGTTTCTCTGTGTTTGTGTGTGCACACACAAACAGAAGCAAAAGATTTGGTATAGTGGTCCCCCAGTGAACCGAAAATGAGGAGAGAAGGTCAAGCTTAAACGCTAAGAATTTCTATGTGTGTGATAGCTGGGAAAGAGGTACAGTGAGATTTTTAAAGAGCCTGCCTTTTTTCTCCTTTGTTTGGTTTTTACTCCCCAAAGGATACTGTTGCAGAGCATTTATGCAGAATACACATTGTTCCTGGTCTGCATTTGATAGAAGACCTGATAAAGACCAAGACTTTGTGGACCTTGTCCGGACACCAGCTGACCTTCAACAGCCAGGTAAAGGATCCCCTCTGACTGGGGCTCATGCACGGTTTTCTTGATGCACTTGCTTAACCAGAAAACCTTTTCCTCTAATTAGCCTGCCTGTGTTCAGAACAGGATTTCATTTCCACTTCTTTAAGAGAATCATAAAGTTGTAGGAGCTAGAAATGTAGTAGATTTATTAGATTATAGTCTATCTTCTTTTCAGTGTGAAACTGTTCTTCTCTTGCTACATATTCTACAGTGTTGTGTCTAACTTTATAATAATCAAAGTGACTTCTCTTGCCATCTTCTTGTGGTATGTGTGGTATGTGTATACCACCACTGCATCTGTGGTGCAGTAGGTTCCAAGGTCAGTTGTGGGGAGTGCAGTCAGAGACACACTGTGATATGTGCCCTGGTGGTCATGGGGCAAATGTGATGTAAGGCCAGATACCCCAGGCTTCTCTGTTCCTGCAGACAAACAGTTAGCCAGAAGCTGACTCCTAAGCTTGGGAATGGTCTTTCCTGAGCTTGTATATGTATTCAGGAGAAGAGAGCTTTTCCCCGCGCTCTTATCAACTGCAGCATCCATGTGGCTGCAGTGGGAGAGGCAGCAAGTCTCCCTTTGGACTAAGTGCTTCTCCTAGGAGATCATGCGCTTGGACACAGCTATGTGCTGAACATTTTCTTCTCCAGCTGCGCTTTTCTCCTCATTCTATTTTACTTTTCATGGTCATTCTAGCAAAGGGTTTTTCATTATTCTGTTCTGATATGGAAGATTGTTTTTGTCTTTTTCCTTTTTCAACTGACTCATGTTTTCCAGCATCTACTGTTCTCTCTCCATCCTGCACTTTTCCTGCATGCATGCTCACAGCTGGCCAGGGGAGAGCCGTATGTTTCCTCTCTGAGGATCCAGCCTTGGCCTTGAGGTCTAGGTTGTAATACGCGCACCCTGCATGCATCAAAAGGACAAAGCACTATCTGGAGTCAGGGAATCTGAACTGGGCTTGTCAGGTCCTTTTTAAATTCCTTTCCTGTTTGTTTACCCGGGAGTCTTTTGATCTGGGAAGTCTGTCCTCCCCTTCCTTTGTTTCAGCCAGAGTCCTTAGTGTTGTGAACTGAAGTTCAGAGCAGAGAGGGACAATCAAGAAATGCACGTGGTAAAACGAAAAGCACAGCAGGCTGTGCTTGCCTGGGTTTGGATTAGCTAGAGCACCAAGTACCTTGATGCTTAGTTTATAGGCTACACTTGGTATGCTTACATCACACCTAGCTTCCGTGTATGGTTGTATACAATATAGAAGGACCGGATATCAGCTGCAGTACCTTATAATTCAGGGAGCCTGACTTTTGGCTTTGTTATGAAGACTTCTTATTGGCGTTATGAGCTACTAAAAGCAGCAGTCAAAGCTGTAGTTCCAGGATTGCCTCGAAATTCTGTGCTCCAGTGCCCAGGAGGCAGCGCGCCTCTCTCCTTGCATTTGGCAGACTGAGGCTGCAGTCTGTCAACGGTGAACGCCCCCTTTTGTGATCCGGAGCTGGGACCAAGCATTGGTCACACTCAGGCAAACCCAGTTCTAGAGCTGGCCGTCCTGGATTGGATCCTCTTTCTGTAATAAGTACCCTAGGATCCAAGTACTACCCACACTCGAACAGAGGTGGGATGTCTGTTGTACACACTGAGGCCATCCCTTACGTTTACTTTTTCTGCAGCAGCTCCAGCTGTGTCTTTACCTTGATGATTTATAGGTGGAGCACACTGAACGGAGCCTTGGTCTGTAGATATATCATGAGAGCATGGATAAATTTACCACAAGAAAATAACCTTGTATTATCATCCAGATATACAGCAAATCATTTCGATATCAAGACCTGCCAGGGGAACTGTACAATGTTTTGCATTCGAACATACCAGCGGCCAATGGCATTATACATATTGTTAACACAATAAGGAAAAAAACCAACGTTGACAACATCGGAAACCCACAGGTACAAAGATATTCCTATTTCTTCTATTTATCGAGATAATAGAATAAACACTTAAAAAATTTTATTTCAATGGTTGAACTTCTTAAATCAGTGACACTTTTTTTTTTTTTTAAGGGAAAAAGGCTATTTATTTTGTTTCCACTCCTGTTAAGGCCTGTTAGGCACTGTTATGTCAGCATATCATTGAAAATAGCTAATAGCAGTACACAAGCTAGATACAGACCTTGCAATGATGCTTTTACAGTGCTTGGATAAATAGAGAGTTCTACTTTTTGAGTAGGATCGCACCCTTCATAGCCAATGAGCTCTTGTTTTCAGCTTTATTTTACAAGAGCGTAATAGCATAAATATCGAAAAAGCATTCTTCACATAAAACTCAAATTAAGATTTTTCTTTCATTGGTCTCTATTGCATTTTTAAAACTGTACTCAGAAAGGTTGTCTTGGTGTCAAAAAGATGTAAAATGAGGACAAATAATCACTGCAAACTTTTGTATTTTGAAGTCATGTCTTGAATTTAAGTCACTGGGTAGGGGTTTAAGAGTTCTCAGTTCAGTCTCTGCCTCTGCTAAGCACTTTTTTTTGTTAGCTGGGAGTATTTTTGCTACAGCTACCACACGGCTCTGCCTGAACATATGTATTTTGTTTCCATATGCAAAAAACAGCCCTATTACCTAACTACCTTCCTGCAAAAAATTACATAGGGTGACACATGCTCTTGGATTTGGTAGGATTTTGTTAGTAATCTGCACTTACTTTGCACCATCGTAATTAAACTATAAAGACAGTAGGGTTTTGTAGTGTTATGGTTGTAATTTGTGTGTTTAAAAAGCAGCTGGAACAATGCGCTGAGTATTAGTAGCTCTTGATTTCAAGTGCCCTGATCATGGTGTATCCAGTGTGTAAGTCCTGGGTCTTCAAATGGGTGTAATTGTGCCTGTCAGTGATGTTTAATGACCTGTGCGAGGATTTAAAGCAGATATCCAAAAAGGGGTGTCTGAGATCCAGCGGGAAAGCTGCGGTGAGCTCTGTATTTGTGGCTTAGGTAACTGCAGGGAAGAATTGGTAGCTATTCTGGTCATGAGGCTAGCCCAGCAGTCTTTCCTCCACCAGCTCCTGCAAATTGTTGGTACCCAGTACAACCCTGTCTGTCACAGCACTGCTGATATGCATGTTCAAAATGTGTTGGTGGATACAAACTTTTAAAGAAACTTGGCATGTTTTTTTGTGACCCACAATTGGAGTGGTTTTTATCCACTGTCTGGTAGGAGGAGTAGGAGGTGAGTTGAATAACTGGAAGAGAGTGCAGGAGGGATGCTGGGTGGAGGGTAGAAGGGTTTTGGTTCGCCAAGAGCTGTTTTAGGGGCAGGATGTGAGTAGGGTACTGGTAGCAACTGTCATGATCCAACTGCAATGAAGACTGTCTGCTGGGATCTGAGCTAGCCTTATGCCAGCTCAGGCTTTATGCCATTGAGCCAGAGAGAGGCAGTTTTCTCCAGGATGGCAGGACGCCTGAGAGCGCTCCCTGTAGATTTTGTCTTTCTCTGGACCCCTTTAGACATTTCCTTTCCCTTGTGACGCTGCCTTTGCAATGAAGACTAGCGATCACACAAGTTATTTTTGGCAGCAAATCCCTTAGTATCAGTGTTTGCTGGAAATGTTTTGTGCCTCTGCATGTTCTGCAAGAAGCACTTTCTACCAAAAAACATGCAGATTTCGGCAAATGAAGGTCAGAGGGTAAGAATCCCTTCACAAGATCTGGTGCTTGGAAAGTCATTCATCTTGTTACCTTTGTCTTTCTGAGCTTCTGGTGTTGCATACCCAAAGAGCACCTGTTGCTCCTTTAATGAAGCAAAAATCTTAATAGGCAACCTGGCAAAAGGGGAAGCATCCGTTTCCTCCATGTTCTCAGGTGTACGCGTACAGATTGTGTTTTCTCAGCGCCGGGGCCCGTCTGCAGGTGGCAGAGTAAACTCTTGTCCTCAAAGCATGGAGTGGGCTTGAGAAGACAGAGCAGCTCCACTGCCTGCAAGCCCAGAGCTGAGTTGTATATGGCTGCAAGTAGTATGTCTCTAGTTTTAATGATGATAAGCGATTGCCTCTTCATTTAATTTAATTTGCAGAAGGGATTAGGAATACAGAAAGGTGCTGAAGTGCACGATGCCTTGGAAAATCTGGTTTGCTGTGCATGGGAATGAGCTTGTGCCTAAGCTACCGCAGGCTCAGTCCTTGCCAGGTCAACTGGCCAAGACAGTGGTTTTGAGGCTGACAGCCTCCTGTAGAACTTTAGCGTGCAACCCATGAACATCAGCTAGCCAAAGGCATTCCAGTTTGTGCTCAGACCTTGCTTCAGACTCAGCCATTTTTTTCCTCTGTGTCTTCTTGTAGAAAACCATTGGTGAGATCCTTGCTTCAATGGAGATCTTCAATCGATTTGAAACTATACTGGAGGTGAGCATTTTTGTCTGCCCCAGGAAGGTGCTGCACTGCTGCTAATGCAAAGCAGGCTACTGTTTTCATGAGAACTTTGAATAACATTTAAATGCATTTCAGTGGTTTGGCTTGCTTTATGGATGTTTTTTTCTGAGTCACCACTTCTTATTTTGTGTATTTTATAAGCAAAAGTAATGGACAGGGAAGGTCTGGGTTCTAACACCTATCGGGGTTCTAGCAGGAGCAGCAAGCTCGCAGGTCTCTTTCTGTTTCTGTTCTCCCCCCTTGACCTCTCACCTGGCACAGAGCTTTTCTCCAAAGCACATTTATTTCTTGACCTCTGTGTCAGGACAAAGAGTGAAGGCCTCATTTCTGAGCATGCCTGTCTATGCCAAGCTAGGTTGAAGCTACAACAGAACAAAAGCAATCCTCAGGTTATAATCCATTGAGACTGCTGGCTAGGCTTGATTTAGTTGATATTTTTTACTAGGGACAGATTTTTCCTTTTATTTTCACCAGATTCATCTGGCTCTGCCCTAGTTGCTCCTCCTAGCTCTCTTTTTTTCAACTCTATGACTATCATTTGACTTTAGTCCAGGGCTCCCTTGTGCACATTAGCTCCATTCACACCGATGGCTTCCTTGTCCAAGCTATGTTTTTATAACCTTTATGTCTCTGTCATGTTGCCTGCCTCACCTTGGTGTCTGGTTGCCTCCCGTGTATATTTGCTTTTCAATAGCGGTGTCTCTAGTGGGTTGCCTCAAGTTTCCTCTCCCTTTCTGACAGACCCCCCTCACTGACTTGTGCTAAAAATGATAAAAATGATGATAAAAATCTTGTATTGTTTTGCTGCTTAATTTTTGCAGAACTGTGGCCTGCCTGCAATACTAGATGGACCAGGCCCCTTTACTGTATTTGTACCCAGCAATGATGGTGTGGATAAGCTGAGAGATGGAAGACTCATTTATCTTTTCACAGAGGTGAGAGCTCATAACAATTTAAGTCTTAAATCAAGTGTGTCGCACTAGGTTTTGCTGGAACAGTTTGTGTGACATCGCTGATCACTGCTGAAAGCTGTTCTTCCTGGAGCTGACTAAACCATGTCTCTGTTTGTGTAAGACCTTGGGAGAGAAATGAATGCAGATGGAAGCAGCTATGAGAAATACATTCGGTCAGATTGTTTAATCTGATTTTTTTGCCTTTTTTGCTTTTGGGTAGGGGGAAATGAAGGAACTTACTCTCCAAGTGAAGTGACTATTATGGTACATTGGCAGTGTCAGCGGCTGGTTAAAAGAAAATGTAGTTGTCTCTTCTTACTCCTGAGCATTGAAGGGGTGTCTAGTTATTATGTTCCCTTCTTTCCTTAGGGCATAAATAAACTTCAGGAACTTGTGAAACATCATATCTACACTTCCGCAGCGGTAAGGCAAGCAGCTCTAATTTTAGATAATTGGGGTCCTTTGGGCCAACATATAAATGACAGTGTTGTTTGGCCACAGGGGCTGGAGTATCAGTGACTTCAGCTGCTACTTCTTGAGCTTCCCCTGGGGCTGCAGAGAGGTGATCCAGGGTCTGATGAGGCAAAGCATTTAGCCTGGAAGTAGTCACCGAAAGGGAAAGTTTGTGCGCTTCCATCCAAAGCTCTGAGTTTCCTGGGGCTGATTGTACTCCTTATTCACATGGTCTTTACAATGAAAACATTGTCTACAGAGTTTGCTGCAGGCAAATGCTCTCTTTTTATTGCATTAATTTGTTAAACTGTTAATTAGGAGAGTGTATCTTAACTATGAACCCCCCAGCCCACAGTTCCCCTAATAGCAGCAGCACAAAAGTCACAGCTAAGTGAAGAATTGGTCCAAACTCCCCTGCCTCTTTTCCTCGTTTCTAGGGCTCCACCAACAGCAAAGTTAGAGACGGAGAACCAGTCCATGTGATCCTGTGATCTGAGCTGGTTCTGCCATTCTTGTACTGCTGTGTAATCGCTGTATAATTATATCACTGTTTGTGGTATTGCAAACAGTTCCCACAAAGCCTGGTTTCTCTCTGACCCATTGTGCCCACTGGAGATATTTCCTGCAATGTAAATGATAAAGCCAAATCCCCTTCAAAAGGTTTTTTGGTGGTGGTTGTTGTTTTTGAGGGGAGGATATCCTGGAAGGATTCTGTAACCAGTACTGAAATGGGCCTACTCTTTTCATGGTACTATTCCCTCATGTTTTTATTTCAGGTGACTGTAGAGAAACTGATAATGATGCCACACATTTTTACTATGGCTAACCAGATAATTACCATCAACATCAGTGCAGATGTAAGTATGAATCAGAACCCTTTTGGGCAAACCCCCTGTGCTAGGAGAAAGTGTGGCTGTGGTTCTGAACCGTGTACTTTGGGCCCAGCTCTGCTTCCTCCTCTGCTTAATAAACAAGGCTCATTTAAAGTCACTGGATTGTTTTTGCTTCTTATCCCATCAGTGACTCCACTAAGAGGCTTGACTATTTATGTGGCTGTACTTGGTGGTGTGTACCATCCATCTCCTGCATTGGTTTATGTAGTTGATACTGTCTAACAGGGTAAAAAACAGGTAAATTATCTGTGTTTCTGCATCAGGGAAGAATTCTGATGGACGAATCGGGGATCCCCATAAATATGAGAAACATTGTGGCATCAAACGGTATCATTCATACTTTGGATGGCATCTTCATCCCTCCTTCAATAGTCCCCATTTTGCCTCACAGATGCAATGAAGAACAGCATAAAATTGTGACAGTAAGTCAACTTTGCCCAGTCTCAAGCTAGCGGCTGCTGTAGGCCTCACACTCTCCTGGAGGGATGAGAGCAGTCCATAGAAATTACATTTGGGAAAGGTGTTTTCCTTGAGATGTCCCCTAATGTGAAGTTAGCTAGCATCAGCAGCATGAACCATGAACTCCTGCTAGTGCTTTGCACTGCTTTTTGGCAAGTCAGCTGCCTCCTTCTAGGTAGTTGTTCTCTCCCTGGTTCCATCCTACCTTTGATTCAGAAAGGCCTTATGTGGTCTTGTTCATACCATAGTTACTAACTCAGCTGGCAATGCTTCGGTCCTGTCACTGTCAACATCAGTCTCCTATAAGTCTGGACACGAGACATTTGTTCAGTAGCAGGTGTTACAAATTCTGGTGTGGTATTCTCACCTGAACACCTCACTCATTCGAGGTCCCTGTTCTGCAATTTGACCCTTGGTAGGTTACTGAGGACAGAACATGAGGCTTTGAATAAGCAAGAGATTTCTGAATTGGGACCCCCACAAATAATCCAAAGCGAGAAGAGGGTCCACACAACTTCCTGATTTAGTAAGACCTGTTGCGTGAATGCCCAAAGACAATGCCCTATGTTTTCTAGCATATCCGCATATCTAGTGGCTGACAGATTCACAGAGACAGATCCCATCTTGCAGTCAGGTACAAGCATCTCCTTGAGACAAAGAGGCCATTTTATTCAAGTGAAAAATCTACCCCATTTCAGAGCCTAGAAATTCCCTTTTAGAAAGGTTGTTGATACATGTCACGATGTTTTGGATATATATACTGGGAGCAGTAACTCTGTAGTGTTCTTGGTGTAAGGAGTGGGTGCCTTTGAGATTACCTTTTCCTCTCTTGTTTTCTTAACAGGGCTCTTGTGTGGGTTGTGAGGCCCTTAACAGCAGTGTTTGCCCACCTGGTAGCAGAGAAATGGTAAATATTAATAACTGCTCTGTACTATTTCTTAGTCTGAAGTCTGTTGAACCAATGCAGGGAGCTCTGAGACAGTTTATGTGCTAAATAAAGTGGTAGACTTGCAGCTTTTAGCACCTCTGCTCTGCTCTGCCTCGGGCAGTGCTTTCCTACATGTACATCGAGTCTTCCAGCTCCTCCAACCTGCCAGAACCAAGTCTGACCGCATTCATGCCATCCAGCGCTACCAATGCCTATAGCATGGTCAGAGACAGAATGGCAGCAAGCTTCTGCCCTGTAAAGGATGAGAAACAATTTATTCCTGGCCTGTGCTGACTGTTGCTTCAGAGATGAGCAGAACGGACTGGAGGTGCAGTAAGGAGGAGGAGGCGGAGAGCCCATGTTTGAGTTATCACATGCTAAGTTTAGCAGAACAACAATTTCTAAGAAGTCCCAATATGAAGGCCCGGCCCAAATCACTTTTTGTGAGAGAAGTGAAAGCCAGAGAGGAGTTCAGCGCTGCTGACTCTGAGGGAGTCTTCTGAGGGATCTGATTTTCAGGCGGATTGCTCATGCTCTCTTAGCATGAATGTCTACAAATGGAGTGCTGCAAAATCACTAGTCACTCATTTTCCTCTCTGACTGAGGCCAGAATCATCTTGGGCCCTGTTCTGCCGATGTGTGACTCTGTGACAGGTCACTGGACATTACCGCAGAAATTATTTGCAGTTCTCCCCTCTTTC